ATAATAAGATATAAACCACCCTTACCATAATGAAAAATATCACTATTTTCTGTTAGAACCGTTTCGTCTTTATTGAATGATGGTGGTTTATATCTTATTTTCTATTTATGATAATATCAACACGACTGCAATTGACATTGCCCCCGCCACTGAGGTAGAATACCGTCATTTTTTGTAATTTCATTCTAAATTGAAGTCAAAATTGCCACGGATGGCTCAACATCGTATAGGTAGATTGAAAGGGCTTTAATAAATCCATCATAGAGTCTCTTTGCTGCTTAAAACTGTCGATGAACAAAAAGTTCAGAAATAGCATTAATCAATACACTCTTGCTATATTCCTTTAGAGTGTCCAACATATTGACTTTCTTAATATTGATTCGTATTACGGTGCACATACATTTGATGTTATTATATTCTGTCTATATTTGGATTATTTACCGTCTTGTCGTCAACGTTTTCAGTCGTGTATAAATGCTTTTAATTTATTAACTTGTTATGGTCTTTTATTAATTGTTGAACCCGATTCTAATCATCAAGGAAAATCTCATGAACGTCTTCAGGCGTGGAAACAGTGTTTAGAATATTTGGGTTTCATTCGAATGAAATATGAAAAACTCGATCATCTACATTTAATGGCTTTTAGAAAAATTCATTTGCATCTACCATTGGATTTAGATGAAAAATTTGAACAGATGTCACAATTATTGTACATACCACAAGATTTTCAAAATAAAAGAGAGAAACCCACACCGGTAGTGACAGAACGAGAAAATATTACAGAATCATTTCAAGAATTGCCTTTTCAATCGGATTAACGTGAATGTATTTTAATAAATGTATTTTAAACAATCACATGAAGAAATTGTGTTGAAATATAAAAGTCTATAATGTGGTCTATCCAATAATCTCTCATATAGTCTCATATATGGTAAGTAATCATGTGCATGCTGTTATATATGTTAAATTTTGAGGCCTCTTCCAAATCATGCAGACTGGATGACGATCTGGAGGAATCAGTCTAACAACGGTAGTTTTCGAATTCTTTTTTCTAATCCATGAGTTGCGATATGCAGTATAGAAACGATCATAAAACAAAAGATTTTTTACCTTTTTATTGCTTTAAATAAAGGTGAAATTACAGTACTTGAATAATCTGTAATAAAACTATAAAAAAAATGAAATGAATAGATTTGTACAATGAACAGCATTTGTTTTCATAGAGAGATTGCATCATAGAACAGAAAAACTATCTATGTTTTGGTTGAGTAAGAGAGATAAGATAGAACAGAATTCACTTAACACCAGTGAATAGTGGTGGATAAATATTCATGCACCATCATGTAATTCCGGCAAAAAAATTTTTTGTCTTTATTTTCCAAACAAAATCAAAATCATCCTACAACGGATGATTGACTTTGTTGACTATTTTCCGTTGTTGTTCGAGTCATAGCTCGCTATTGACGTTCGGTCCTAATCTGGACTGTTTACTTCAGAACAATGTACTTAATATACACTTTAGTTAAGTACACTTTTTTATAGTGTACTTAACCCTTTGACGGGCGGTGGTCCATATATGGACCACTTTTTTTGTTTATTACGATAGAATTGTGCCCATAAT